TGTACATGTAGTGAAACTGCCTCATGAGAAATATGCAGGCTGGGCTTCTTAAACAGTGTACTTTGTTTTTTCAGTAATACAAGACAGGCATGCAACTTGGACTCTGACCCCAAAAAAGAGGGAATTCTGATCTTTTATAAGACTGCACAGTGTCTTGAGTGAGAAGTGAAAAACGGGGAAATCGCGAGGAAAAGTTGCGTGCCTGTCATTGACAAGAGTGTCATATAAGTCCAACCAACCAAGTGAGAGAAACTTGTGGATGGCGTGTTACTTCTGATGGTTCCATCTTGTCAACTTGACACTTTAGAAAAAAAAAAATTGAAGGGCAATCCATTTATGCTTATGTACATGTACCGCTAATTGTCTGGGGTGATGGATTTTCTATTGTTTAACTGAGACATCAAACACCAAATTGTTCAATTTTGCTTCACGTTTGAAATGTACACTGTACCGGTCCATGTACTCATTCATGCATTGGGCATTCTTAATGAGAAAAGTTGCAAAGATTTATCGGTAAATAGAAAAATACACAGGATACATGTACACATTACTTGTAACAGACTTTTGATTGAGTCTTTTGTAGGGAATGGAATGAGACTTCAATCGTGAGCATGTACATGCACTTCTTTTGCCTTGGGTTTATTTACCAGACCAATGTCCACCTGTCCTCTTTATAGTACAGTAAGTCACTTCCTTTTCAATAGCCAATGAAGTATACCGGTATGTTTTTGTTTCCTCATCAATACTGACATGAGGGTCGACTGGCGATTAAATTTTCCTATCTTGACAGAAACATTCCCGATTTTCTCTTGCCGGTATTATTCCAGACAGGGTTGCCCGCTGTGCTAACCACTTAAACACTGGAATGGACAAGAAAACTGTTATGCGTACCACTGCATTTCTGCTTCCAAATGTTCTGAAGTCAAATGGGCCATTCACTATTCAAATCAAGGCAAGCAGAGACTTTTTTTCCCCATTTTTACGTATCAGTGGCTGAGAGCAATATTTCTTTCCCTCACATTTTTCTCACTTAACCACTCTCATTAGTGTACCGGGTACCTTCCCAATGAAAAAAGGCTGCTGCACTATAATACGGCATCCTGTCAAAACCACAGTCAACAGTTCCTTTTTGTTTTCAGGCGGGAATACCGTAGCCACCAGTAACCATGGTAACAGCACAGAGGATGAATACATAAAGTACAAGGGTTCACACCAAGAGGCTTCACTATTTCCTAGACAGAATGTTGGCAATCATACCCTAACAGTGTTGTAGTCAAGGCCAGGCAGTCCGAGATCAAGACCAAGACCGAGACCGATGATTTGAGACCAAGACCAGCACATT